GCCGGGAGGTCAAGCGGTCATGCGTTCGCAGCTATACATGGGGTAGTGTTGGAAGGCTGATTCATGTGTTCGTACCTGCCTCCACAGCATTTTGCATGACGTCGCTCTGTTGTCCATACCATGTAGATAAATCTCTGGCCCTGGTCGAGTGATGACGCGGAGTTGTGTTATACGTACTTTAGGGTCTGCATGCTCGACCCGAGTTGTCAAAAGGTTGTATGAATTGTGTTGTTAGGTTGGCTGAAAGCTCCAGGCGGGCAGCGCAATTCACCTGATCGTACAAGTGGACCTCGGTTCTTCAGAGACACCAGGCTTCCCGGCCGCAGGACATCCGCGTCCTCTTTGTCCACATATTGGAAGCCCTGGGGGCACGGCATGGGTAATGAGCAGTCACGGTATCTCCGCTACACCCAGCTACAGCCAAATACCAAATGCCATGCCGTCATGCCGTTTCACAATGCGTTGCGCGCATCATGTCGTAGTTGACATGCGGGGCCGAGAGCCTGCTACAGTTGCACCAAACCGACCGAAGCAATCCCTATACCTACAGCATGCTGCAAGGTTGTGAACGTTGGAATTCAAGTGGGACCGGCACGACCGCAATGCCTCCCATGGCGCTGCATCCGGATTGCGCGGATACTCATCCCGCACCCACCTTGGACAAGGACTGTCGGTAGGCATGTCGATGCTGTACATGCTGGGCCTGATGTGGATCTTCGTTTAGGCCCCTTCCGCGCGGTTACATTTCGTGCATAAAAAAAAGGTTCGACATCCTGTACACATTGGCCTGGTGACGTCGTGATTGATTCGTGCTTGTGACGGCACTGACAGCGCGTGATCACCCCCTTGCGCATGCTTAGACTGTCCCGGAAAAGATGCCGGTTTTGGATGATCTGAAGGGTCACAGCCCTTGCTAGGATGAAGGAAAGAATTTCATAGTGTCTCAATGGCTGCATCAGAGGCCGTGACCTGGCGTTTTACATTTTGAATGCCCACTACATGACTTTGCGAGCTGGGAGAAATTCACTCTGCGCATGCTTTTCGACCACTGCGACGAAAAACAGCAGTCTGAAGCTGCTTCTAGTCATACACACATGTATAAATAAACATAAATGATCATAAATGAACAATATACATATATATATATATATAATAGAATATACATGTATCGTTTTAGGGTCTTGATTTACTGCTGGTTTATATATGTGCACATACCGGAAATCGCAAAGCCCCCCCCCCCCAGCTCTTCCTCTGAACTCTGACGTCGAAAACAACTTCGAGCTGCCCTGAGCACCCAGCACAGAGCCGGACCAGCAGGACTTGCGGGGCTTTGGCCCACGGAACCCAAGGCTGCGGAGTGCCTGCGTTCCGGCTGAAGCTTCGGGGCAGGTTCAAGACTACAGCGGTCAGCGAAGTTGTATTGCCGTCGGAATCTTCGGGATGCTTCAGGATGAAAGACCCAAGCCCTTGCAGGCACTGACGTGGCAGTGGTCCACCACTGCTGCGCGAACAGCAACTTCAAACCCTTTCATCGAGATGGCTTATAGGGCTCCTGGGTCTGCCCACGAGACTAGCGTGATATGTTCAGACATGTCCAGCCGTGGGCTACACGCCCATAGGCCTCCTTACGAGCACGCATGCACATGATGTGATCATCTTAGATGCCTCCACCCGGGTTTCCAGTGAGCCGTTCTCCGTGATGACCTGGTGGCAGAGCGGAGTTTCCTCACCCGGAGCCTCACCCATTCCTCCAACCCATGATGCCCACAGGGATGCAAAAATGCCTAGAAACGCCTGGAAATACCCTGGACTTAGCCTGAACTTCATCCGGAAACCCAACTTCTTCACAGAACCTCTTAGTCAAGGCCACCTTGGAGATGGTCTCCCAGGTAGGCAGCGTCCCCTTTCGCTTCGACTGGGCCAGAGAGCATCTCTGGGCTTATAAGGCTCAGCAGCGGGGGGGGAGAGGTCGGAGAGGGAGTCTGAGGGAGTCTGAGTGGCGTGATGTGACGTTGCGGCGGGTGTGCTCTTATTCTGCGATGCTACATGGGTCTCTTTGGAGTCTTTCTCAAGTTTTCGGGCTGGACTCTAGACCAGAGCGATCTTTGCAAGCGAGCCCATCCTCAATCGGGCTGATGAGCTGTCAGATTCAAGTCGAGTAGCGTGGCTTTCAAGCGTGGCTCGAATTTCTAGCCCAAGGAGCTGCAGTCCTTCATCTCTAAAAACCACAAAACCCTAAACCCCAGACCCCTTCAAGAGCCTGAAGCCTGAATGCAGTCAGACGTTCTGGGCTGCCGGGCCGACGTCGCGCTGACGAGCACACCATAAACCATGCCCCGCTGCCCGAGGAGGCAGTGCTGGCAAAGACTTCAGGAGTTTGGGCGTGTTCATGGCTATATATGGGGGCTCTATGCCACTATGCGTCATTCTGCACCAAGAGCAACTTCCTGGCAAGAGGCTTTGACATACAAGAAATATGGGAAATCACGGTTTTTTGTTATATCGACAACTATGCCCTACATCCTGAAACACAAGAAAACTGGGTGTGCAAAGTCATACTTGTCTTTAGACTAAAACAAGGCTTCTCAAGGGCACTGGTTGTCAATGAAGCGTATTTAAAAAGTAAAGGTGCGCAATGTACAAGGGGTGCGAGTTCGGTGGTGCGGGTGCACGTGGTTGTCGTCGTGAGTGATTGCGTTCGTGCGCGCGTGGGTGAATGCATGTGAGTGAGAGAGAGAAATAAAAATATAAAAATAGAAAAGAGAGAAGGAGGGGGACTTGAGAAATCCGAATCCAGCTTGCCCTAGTTGCACGTGAGGAAATCCTTTTAAACCAAACTGCGTCCTGCCCCCAACCCCCCCCCAGGGGCCAGCAGATACTTGAGCAAATCCGGCTGCCGATTCTCCAGTCGCCCAAGGATTGAGAGCCTCGAGTGCTTGAAGCTTCACAAGGATCTCACTACACTTGCCGAGGCATGTAACAGCATGCTCAAGTCTGTTCCTCAGGTGAATAAACACACAAAAGAAATGTAATCCTTCTCTCAGCTTGAGAAAGTCGCCGGCCATGACAGGAAAACCAGACACCGACCCAGAAGAACGCGCGAAACAGAGCCTTCCACCACATTTGCGTCTCCCTGCCTTTGGAAGTCTATTCAGCTGCAGACTTACCTACTAGATGCACGACTTAATGCATAAACATCCGAGTACCGAGGAGCGTTAACATAGGTGCGATGATCTTGTCCCAAAGGTTCCGACATCGCCGGTCCTCATCCGGGCGGGCTCGAGTGACGAGCAGGAGGAGAGGGGAGTTGCAATGACAATCATCATGATGGTGCTTTGTTGATGATTAGCACTCGCGGTAGTGGTGGTGGGCGGCCGCTCAGGTCCACAACCCTTTGCCGTGAGCAAGAAGGCAAGCAAGCTCCCATTAGCCGTGGCGCCACTGGGCGAAGTTTGCCTCGATCCTCCTCCTTCATCATCAGGGCCTGCCGGACACAGAGCCAGCCGAATGATCCTCTTAGTATGATGGCCATCCAGATGACTAGCATACCACCTCGCTAGGTCACGGTGCATTCGGCAATCTCCTTTGCGAAATCAGCAAGGCTGCAAGCCCCAAACAAGACGTCCCCAAGTAACTTGCACGCCTCAATGCCATGTACGCGGTCGCCAGCCTAAGGAATGATTCCGACGATTAGTATGTTCGGGGTGTCAGACGACGCGTACCGACACTGCAGATGCAGCCACATGGTGGGCTCCCGCACATCAAACCGAAACCGCCGCCTCCCCACCCCCCGCCCAAACTGCGCCACAGTGCCACACCGATATTATTGCTTCAAGAGGCCGGAAGCAGGATCTGACTGAACAGCTGCAGGCGGTCTCCCTGGTTCACCTCTCGCAGTTCAATCGTGACCCGTTGTGGCGTTGCCCCCAGTCTGACAGACACACCTCTACAATGAGCACGACTGGCTCGAGACTGTTTTTGAATCACCGTGCGCTGCTCTTGTCACAGACAGAACCAAAATGCGATACTGCCTCAATGATGGGCCTGCACCCCCTGTGCTGAAAGGATACCCTGGATATGGTAACTACCCTGAAGCCAAACCCTCGACCCATCCAGGCCAGCACCACAGGAATTCCGTCAAGCTTGCCGTCCACTCCGCCATGCAACTTAGGGGAGGCCCCTTTCTATTGTGGGATGTCGGCTGCTGAATTCTCAATTGGGACCATGGTGAGCCGCCCCTAAGCCATGGAAACTTAGCCAAAAGTCTGGCCTCTATATGCTTGGGAGCCAGCCGATTTCTCTGCTCCCCTTCTATCCAAGTCAGCAATTTCTGCAGCAGTTGATGGCTTTCGAAACTTCACCGGCTGCCACACGATGACCCGAATTCAATATAAGGTATAGGGCCATAGAGTTCCTTGTGCCGAGGCCAAAAACGCATTGCATCACCATCAGTCTGCAGCACTCTTCTCAGAAGCTCTCAGCTTGTGGAGATGGAAGAGATTGGCAATCCAGGAACGCAGTTGAAGAAACCTAGACTTCATGTGTTTCCTGCACAAGCATTACATACTGAGCAGCTTGAAGCCGTCAACAAGGGTAGACGTTCTGGTGGGAGCTGAGCATGGCCAACATTGGAGCGTCTCTTCATGCTGCGACCCTCATCCACTCTCGCACTGGGCACACGACACAACAGGGGCAGGCCGCCTACTAGAATCTGCTTCATTGGATAGCACAACAGCTCAAACGGACTTCTCGACCTAGCGGCTACTGCCCTGCTGACACTCACTTCGTCAATCCGTATGCGGCTTTCACACGCAAGTTGGGGCTTCGGACGGGGGGCTCCAAAGCCTGTGGGTCAAGGAAGGCTTCGAAACTCAGTTGATTTTTGCATGGGTCGTGCGCATTTTTCAGAAGTTCACAAACTCTCGGGGGCTAAATTCGGACATCTGGCATCCTCTCCGACCCTTCCGTTTTCGGGATTCCTTTCGAGCCCCAAGACGATCTCACTGAGGAGCCCAGAGGTTCAGGTTGTCTGACAGCAGCTGCATCGTGATCCTGGGAAGATCGGGAAGGATCTCTGATAGTGCTGGGAACCAGGGGGGTCTCTCTTTTTTTTGCCCTATAGAGGTGGATCTGAACTCTGCCCAAAGGCCGGTCCAGAGATACGAAAGGCATTGGGCATCCAAGGCACATGGAGTCGTTTCGCGACTCTTCAGGGATGTCGTTCACCGAGTCTGAAGCCAGGCTCAGAGCCTGGCGGCGCAATGCGAACAAGTCGACGAGGCAAACAAGGGACCTCAATACTGGTGCAACCGCTTCGGGCCTCCCGCCCCGCCCCCCCCCCCCCCCCCACCATGCCCTTACCCAAACAATTTCTTGCAGGCGCTTGGGATCGCTGAGACTCTGTGGCAATCTCGTTCAAGACGTCTTATACCAGTTTCTACGGCTTTTCTCCGTTCTCTCATTCCGCGTTAGCGACACAGGAACTGTCAAGAACCGAAGAATCTTGGAGCCAGGATTTCACCACGAATGCGCGGAGTAAGCACTGCGTAAAGCCGTCCTCAGCCTACTTTGCACATGGAGTTGCGAGCATCAAAAGTTCTTCCCTTGAACCTGACAATGCTGTCAAGTCTACAAAATGAGTGGGCAATGTTGAGTTGGTCCGCTCAGCATGCGACCGGCTGAGGTATCAACAGTTCCATCCACCCCTACTAGTATGTTCGAACCCATAATGAACAGAATCCGATGGGACCCAGAGCCCGGATCAAGATGAATCAAGCACGAAAGCCTCAGTGGCCGTTTCGATGGCGCGGTCCGTCTGCCGCAGCACCTTGCCGTGCCAGCACTCAACGCTGGATCAGCCCTGCAAGGTAAGCTGAACTCATAAGATGCTGCACAGCAATCGGTCCAACAGGTTGTCAGAGGGTCCGATTTTGAGGGGTTTCAGCGAGCTGCTCCCGAGCAAAGTGTTTGTTGTTGACGTCTTGACCTTGGAGTCTCTCTTTGTCTGCCTGGAGATTGAAACCCCTTGCTTTTGATTAAGGGGGCTCTGGACAAGACTTGCAAGAGTTGATACACGAGGCCGTGCGGGGGCAAAAAAGAACACTAGCCCCCTCTATGCGCGACTGCACCCCACTCAGAGCTGCGAAGTTACACCTCAAAGGATGCCTCACGTAGGTTCACAGCGAAGTCAATAATTACCCTTTAGTCCCTGAAGTCCCGAAAGGTTGCAAAGGCCTGCAGGCCCTTCACACCCTGCCTCGTGCTGGAAGACCGAGAAGTTCAATGCAAGGCCAAGTCTCACCTCAAGGGATAGCAGACCGAACCCGATCCAACTTTTTGTTTTGGGTATAGGGTTGAGGACTAGTTAGAGCTCTTCTTGTTGGGCTTCTCTCGTCAAGAATTAGAGTCTTCAGGAGCGTCTTCTCTACCCAATACAGATACAGAAACTCAAAAAAACTTGATGCCAACTTCGCTCAGCTAGAAGCAGACATCCAAAGGTGGTCAGGGTAGATGTGAGGGTGCAGGCCCTGAATTGCTGGACTTCCGAGGCAGGGACTGGGTGGGCGGCCGGCAGCACAGCCGCCTCTTGCAGGCCTTCCTGCACATCAGTCAAAGAGTCCAGGGATTGAGGAGTCTGAGAGCAAGAAGCCTTGCAATGCAGAGGCTATAGGTATTCGGCTTAGGGAGGCATCACTGTGTTTTGAGCGAGCGAGCACAAGAGCGAGAGAGAATGAGAGAGAGAGAGAGACACATTGGGAGAGAGACCAGGATCGAGAGCGGGAGTGGTGAGCATGGGAGGAGCTCCTAGATATCTGGAAGCAGAACTACTGAGACACAGGTGCGAGATGCTGGACGGTCGATCTTCAACATTAAGAGTCTCTTTGCGCAGCGTGTCCTCATAGGCCGCCCTCGCTTCCTCTGCAATCGCCATCTTCGACTCATTCCGGTTCCTGGCGTGGCCGGACATGGACCCTGACAATGAGCCAAGCAGGTGCTGAGCACGAAATCCTCCACCCAAATCGTCGACGCTTCTAATTGCGGCCATAGGTGCCACTCTGCGAGGTATCGATAGTAGTCGCCTTGCCTTGGTCTTTTGCTGCGCCAAACAGATTTCATATAGACACCTGAAAAACAAAACGGCGTTAGAACCCTGACTGCTCAGGCCAAGGGGGCATCTTCAGGTAGAAGGTCTTGGCCTCCCCGGCCTGGCGTGAAAGGCGGGGGCTTAGGGGCCTATTTTACTTGAGAAAGACCTCCGGAATTCAATGGCAAGGCAAAGGCTCGCCTCAGCAACATTGCCGGCAGCTCAAGAGTAGTGAAGGTCATGTTTTTGTAGGCAACTTAGGAGGCTGAGAGGGCTTAGAATAAAGGAATGTAAAGGAGTATGGTGTTCTTTCATCCGCGCCTCTGCGTTCGGCACGAGGATGGTGCGGAGAAGTGCCAGGGCATCCTCACAGATGCTCTGAAGCTCGGCCTCGACCTGCTCCAAGAGGTGTTCGGGGGGGCCATCTTGATGGGCTTTGAAAAGTATCCAGAACTCAATCTGCACATCCCTCACTCTCTGAAAGCACCACAGAACCGAACATCTCCAGAAATCTGCAACCCACATGTCATGTCGATGTCGGTGGGCCGATGGGTCTTCAAATGCGGCATCCGTGGGTTATGGTCATAGCAGCATAGCATTTCTGCTTTCCACACACATACCCATACATGGGGCACCTTGGAGCGATATCCTTTGGCAAGCGAAGCGTGAGCGTCGCGGCCCTCCGCGGTCTCCATCTGCAGGATGGGGTTAACGGATAGGGTTCACAGAGACTATGCAGAGATGTTCAGGGCTCAGGGGCCGGGATGTCAGGGACATCCCGATCGAGCATGCGCGACCTTTTCACGCAGTGGAGAACTCACATGAGGCAGTGCGCGTGACGAATGTCACAAATACCAAATATCTCACAAATCTTACTTTCTTCACAAGGGATCCGACTGCTGTCCTTGTTGCCCAGCTCTAACCGGGCAATTGCTGGGCTGTACTCCCCAGACTCAAACTTGAAAATACCTTCACCCAGATACCGTGTCAATTACTGTGAGGTGCCTGCTCCACACCGTCGGCCACGCGCACTGCCACGCGGCGCTCGGTAAGCGAATTCCTTGGACAGGTGTGGCAAAAGGCTCAAGGCTCAAGGCTCAAGGACAGGGTATGCAGCACGAAGAAGTGTATTTTTATTGTAAACCCCACGCATCCCGACACGTGAATAAATGTGCACATGATGTTCAGGACAACAGTGACACAGTATGTCGCATACCATCTCAGCCGTACATGACTGCAATTCTTTGCTGCTGCTCTCGTGTTGAGACATGCTCATGCACGCTGTTCGGCTATGCAATTCGCCTCGGCTTCCTGCCGAGAAGCGTTTGGAACAAGCAGACACGGATCCGGTCTCCTTCCCCTCAACCTTTTTTTTTTGCCTGTCCAAATTTTGTGACGCACCCCCCCGCCCGCCCCTGTGGGACCTGGAGGAGCTGAAAAACCGATGCTGCGGGGGGTCCCGCCTGTCGGCGGCTCCTACAGAGCTATAGAGGGGGCGCTCCGAATTTGGCTGTTGGGGACTTTTTCCCCCCCCTGGGACCCCTGGAACCCTTTCCTGGGACCCCCCCCCTTTTAAACCCTCTTTCCTCCCTTCCTGCCCGGCTGCCGAGGCGGCGCGCGCAAGCGGTTACAATTAGTTGTACTAGCCAGACTCACCTTTGCAGCTGGAGTTCTTAAAGGCGGCTGAGAACATGTCACGCTCCTGATCCAGTGCTTGCTGATTTCAGCATAAACTCACCTCGCGCAGATCCTCGAAACGTCCCTGAGTTTCTCTTCCTCTTGAACTTGGTGCAGATCATGGCATGTCAGGATTTGTGCTGTGCGCTGTCCTCGGGATTCAGGGCCGGGCCCATCTGCACACGCTGCCTGTCGCAAGGAGGCATGGTGCTGCCCACTTTAAGACGAACATTAGTGCAATGCCAATGCGCAGGATCGAACTTAAGATGTTTTTACTAGGCTACAGCACTAGGCTCATGCACACCTACTTCCAGCACCATGCAATATATGTTAGCTCTGGACTCGATGCACCATCGGACAGGATGGACATGGAACTCATGGGGCCAGCGGATAAGGGATTGCAACGATCTCTCCTTGCAGGGTCACTTTAGCGAAGACTTCGTCGGCACCCCCTAAGTCTAAACCCAGGCACTTCATGTAGTTCGCCATCTCATCGTATCGCTCCGCTCGCTCGGCCACACGGGCCAACGTCACAAGGGTCTCCTTGGTACACAAAGTTGTCGGACGTGAGGGCTGATTAGTGGCTATGTGGCTGCAGGGCAGGGGGGATACTTTGTGCTGATGGACCTAGGGCGCCGCGTTGGAGGAGGCTGGGATTGACACTTTGTTGGGAACAAACCCTGCCGCAAGTCACAACATTACATACGACAGAAAGACCGTCACCTGGGCGGATCGGAGAATGCGAAGATGCAAATTCCTGGAATAGACATCAAGCTTGCATGCTGACCATCAAACGCCAGCTGAGTTTCCGCGTCCATGGCCGGAAGAGAAGCACAACAATCAAAGCACCCCTATAAGCCCTCAACTCTTGCCTGAGCCAGAAAGGATATTCGATTCGGCCCCTGTGCGATTCGCAAGGCTTCAAAGCCATGGAAGCAGCAGTGCTGCTTGAACATTCTTGCAAACGACAGCCATCTACGGAGACAGCAAGGCCATCGAATCTGGGCCAATGAGACGTTTGTGCTTTTTTTTGGTTGGGCCAAGTCCTTCGAGGAGCCCTTTCACAGCATCTGTTGCTTGCCAGCACATGGCACGACTCCCATGTTGCGCTTTCCCTATCCCTGCCTTGCCATCCACATTATAGATGTGCTGGTCATCGAAGCCCAACGAGCACAGAACGTCAGCTCCTCGGCTACAGATGTCTACACCACAACTTTGGCAACAACTTTGGAACATGTGTCGTCCATATCACTTTTAACCAAGTACCCTGCCCAGCAGTCGCGGCATGACATGCACATCGTGCAGACCCCAGGTCGAATCGCTTCGAATGGTATAATCTCGTCTAGCGTCGAGCTTTCACCTTCTCCAGCTCGGAGGACCCAAAAGGCAGCTCATTTCGAGCGGCCTCCAAGCGGATGGAGATGCTGTTGTGACACGTTTTGCAGCAAACTGTGCGCAGGACATTCCTGAAATGTGTAGGTTCACAGTGCATCTTACAAATACCTTTTAAAGCGTACATAATTGCGCACGTACATGCGCACACGGGGTGCGTATTTTTCTCGCATTATATATAAACGAGCTCAGCATGTGCGCGCCCGCCTTAAACATGCACTGCTTACTTGCTTTGAGAGTACACATACACACATAGACACATACATACATACATACATACAGACATACAGACATACATTGATACATACATACATACATACATACATACATACATACAGACATACCCACATACATACGCATGCACATTAGACTTGCCAGTAGAGATAGACATGCAATAAACACATGCATTGTTTATCGCATGGCTTTGGCATTGCAGCATCTTCTGCCGCATAGTGTCATGTGATGGCAGGCCGTGTGGCACGCCATTTGCTTGCGTTTAATATGATAATGTGTTTGCTAGCATTCGCTAGCTGATGCTACGCAGTGTTGTTCATGTATACGTTGGTATGTGCAGGTAAGTAGGGTGTGCAGTTGTATGGATATACAGTATTTAGGTACGCATGGAAATGCAAAGTATTTTCTCGTGATGTGCCCTACGTACTTGTGAGCACATGTAATCATGGGCTTGTAGTGTGCATAGATGTGGATGTTGCCATCAAGGTTTTGCAGTGCCTTCGCATGGGCTTACGTGCTGTTCGGGGCTGCAGCAATCAGTCGAGGCTGAGTGGAAAGATCAGATACCTCAAGAAAGCGCCCTCAAAGCACTTCTCACACGCCCGAAGCCTCCCAATCAAGCATGGAAGGCACTCAGTGCCAGCTTTGGGCGTCCCCCGACCCACAGCACAGAACTAGGCGGAGAATGCTGCACGTGCCTGCTCCGCTTCTGCCGCCTGCACTTCAGCAAGGAAACGCTAGGCACGCACAGTCGTTGCTATTACTCCTGCTTTTTTACTACAGCTACAGTTCTAACGTCATCGTGGGCCTCAGCCTGGCAAGCAACCTCGTGTGCCAGTTGCGAACAGCACCGGGAACCAACCCAAAGAGCGAATCGAAGCCTTCTCCGCGTGCGTCTTCTTCGGCCGCTTGGGATCTTCCTCGCATGCACTTGTTTGACATGTACATCTCTACCTGGTGAGCACTTCTGCTGGGAAGGTCGTGCGCACTGACGCAATAACAACCCGCAGCCAACCCAATGAAACCCTTCAAACAACTCCATCTGCCCTCAGCAGGGGGCCGGCACAGGCTCAGGTGGACCCTGCGGTCGAAGAGGCAACTCCTGGTTCAGCGTTGCAGCTCTTGAGGCATGAGGTAATATGAGGTATGCTCATTCCATACCCAAGAAGGGACCGTAATTTGGAGAACAAGCAGCATCCGCAAGGTGGTGCCTTCGGGAAGCTCTATCTGTGTCGATACGAAGGCCCTGAACGGCCCACCCCTTTGTACCTTAGCTCAAAGATGTGGTAAGTGCCCAAGGCAAAGCAAGGTGGTCCGCAGGTGGAGCTCCGCGACCATCCCAGTTCCTCACTGTGCAAGAAGAAGGAGAACAAGGAGCTCACATGCACAGCGATTCTCGGATGCACGCTGAATGCTGACCAGTACTATACTTTTCTGTTGTGAAAGTCCACCTGCCTGCCCCCTTTCTGTACAGGTCTGGTCAATGCTCCTTCCATCCATGGCCAGACATCTTGAAGTCTTGTGACTAAAAGCTAAAGTTCAGCCGAGATGCAACACCACGTTCGCCACGCTCCATGCAAAGCCCGGATTGACCAAGCGGCCGCTGTGCTGCCTCGGAGTTGGGAGAATACCTAAACTACGCAACGCCACAGGCTGTGCAGTACATGGCGCTACATTGCCGCTACATGGTGCTACAGCATGACTTGATGACAGCTGGCCAACAAGCCTCAACTCTTCCGGGACGTGTTTTTGCTTTTTCCCCTACGTCTGGCGCTCCGCAGCGCCGCCGCTTGAAGGGGCTGTTTGCCATCCAAGTGAGGTACTCGTCGTCGGAGGAGGCAGGCTCCTCAGGATAGTGCATACTACCAGTCTACCAGCTACTACCAGTTTTTGCCACAAACCCCAACTCAGAATTTCCTCGTTGGCCAAGCCTTTACAATCCTTGCAAACTCTGAGATCTCCTGCGTGTTCAATGAGGCGTCCCTGCTGCTCGTGTCCTTGGTTGTTGTCTTTTGCCGAAAAGCCAACAACTAAAATGCAACTCTGTGATCATTTCAAGCGTCAAGCGCTTTGCTGTCCGAACCTCTACCTTGAAACATCTCCGCATCGTATTACAAGTGTCGAAAACGTAGGACACCTTCGGGTCATCCCCTTCCCGAAGTAACTCTTGGGCCATCAGCGCTTCGCATAGGTCCTCAGCAAGGAAAACGGCGCTGCGCGCGCAAAGCCGAAACTTACAGCGACACATGAGCATTATGAGCATGTCGAGGAAGCGATGTCTGTTCTGGCAGTGGCTTCGCAGAACAGAAGCAGTGTCGGATCAAGCCATCAATACATGAATTTGCCGCACGTAAAGACTTAAAGCTATGTCCCAACCGACTTTAAAAGGGCCGAGCTTCTGGGCACTGGGACTTCAAGCTTTGGCGGAAGTGCCGGGCCAAGACAGGGTGGGTGGCCGATGTGCACCTCGAGCTTGCCATGGTGCTCAAACTCAGAAACCTTTGAGTTCAAGTGAGGCTTACCTTCAGAGTCAACAGCATCTCTGTCAAGAGCAAACCAAAATGTACGCAAAACAATATTCAATTACGAGCCAGCGCAAGGCGGGAGCCACACAAGCCAGACCTAAAGCTTCAGAACCCCCGCCCACTCCCTTCTCAAAAGGAACCTCCAAACGTCCGCCACATTCCACTCGTTGCAGAAGTTCTGGGTGACCGCAAGGGAATCCTTCTGGAGGGAACGTGATTGGCGTTTTTCGGACGGCAGCTCTGAAGCACGTTCAAATCTTGGGCGTTTTTCGCAGGCTGCCCACAGACGCACAGAGGCTTGGCCTCAAGGTTCAGCACGGCGTGCCACCACCGAGCTGGCACGAACACGACCTGCCGAAAGGCAATCAACAAATCCATATATGGAACCTGAATGAACCTGACTTGAATGCAAGGTGACGCCACCCAAATATAGAGCTTGTGAAAGCTTCCATAGCAGCCATACACAGCTTTTCGATGTAATCTCATCGCCTCTCCAGGCTCCTGCAAGAATTCGATTGGCTTGAACTGCTCTGGCCAGGCCCGAGCACGAGCACTCCTTGGGCAGCAATACCAAGCAGGGCGGGCTTGGGGTTTCGGAGTGTAGAGGCTACTGGTTTTGGGAGGTCTCACTGCCAGCATTTTTGGAAGGGGGTGGGGGGAGGGACGGCAGGAATCAAGGCTTGGAAGGCCTGAACCCATGCAGCTGAGATGCTTCCACCAATGCAGGAACCTTGCGAAGCAGCCCTCACATGGGTGCTTCAACGATAGTTTGTCGGGCAATGGGGCTATTCAATGCTATTCCCTCCCCGGATTCAGCCAGAGTTGCCAACATGAGGCGGACTCCTCGCTGAAGTCCGATGCCACCTCCGACAGCCGGGCTGATTCTGGGACTCGGTCTGTGCACTCGCGAGAGCAGATAGCAAGCACATAAAGCAAATGCCTTTCTTCTTTTAGCCATGGACACCCGAGCCGCCTCTGGGCGTAGAAGCTCTGGCGGCGTGCAGGGCGGGAAGAGAACCCACAGCTTCTTCCCTGGGGCCGCAGGGAGCAAAGGTACATGATGCCAGCAGCTTCAGGCAGACTGATCTTGCCCCGCACCTCGTCTTGCATTCCAGTCCAAAACCCGAAACCAGCCTTTACAATATGAGGGGGATTGCGGGTGCCTGACACGAGAGCGTTCCATGCCGATGTGCCCAAAGGATCTTTGTGCAAGGCGCTGCCGGATCCTCGGAGATTCAGAGGGCCTTTGTAAAAACAATTACAGGGCGTCTTCTTCTTCCTTTTAGTGTCGATGGTTTCTTGTGCCGTGTTGGGTTGGAGGCGAGCAGCACGAGCACCAAAAAGACTGTAACAAAAAGCAACCTTGAGAATGTGAACGACGTGTCCAAGGCACTACGAGGGCCAAGTAGAAGCCAGCGGTACGGAGGCCGGAGTGGGCCTTGTTGTGGCTCTGATGAGTGCTTGGTCTGGTCTTTGTTCTCTCCATCATATGGCTCTTCCTACGGCTGTACGGCCAGCCTACCAGCCTCATCCCTTCTTCTTTTTTGCCACTGGACTGAAGGCAAGCCGTATCTTCTTCCTAAACCGTAAACCCAGTAAAAAGCACTAAGAAGACTGGCGGCCAAGCTCCGCCAAGAGGTCGCTCTCGAAGGCCTCTGGCACCTCGGTCTCTCAGAGCTCTGAAGGAAGCATGAGCTCTGCTTGAGAAGGCAGAATCGAACACTTTCAATACCTACCACCTTCTCTGTTATTCTCCACTTATTCTGTTTAAGTTTTCACGACGAGAACAGTCCAGGGCCTGGTACTGGTCCACCAGGAATCTGGTTGACGGATACTCGCCAAAGGCGTGATCAAAAAGATAGAGCGGCGTGTCGTCATCCTGTGCTGAGCAGGAAAGCAAGGTCTGTTCACTTGTGCTCCCATGCATTCTCACTTTGGAGACTTGAATCCCTTTCTTCTGCCTGCTCTGCCATGTAAGCTCGGAAATCATCGAATCGCATCCGTATACCGAACCGATGGTCGCAGATGATCCTCTGATGGCCGAAGTCCGAAGCAAATCCCTCCATCGTCCAGCGCTCCATCGCACGCCAATCGTCCATGGCGCCACAGATCACTGCCGGGGAGGATCTTTCCTGGAACTCCTTGCCGAAGCTTGTATACTTCTCGTCATGCACGTCCACCCGCGTGATGTTGCCCATGCAATGGCCAAAGATGGCAGTCAAATCCAGGCGGGCAAATGAGTGGGCCTGCCGATCCGTCCCTAAATTACCTGTGTCTCCAGTGCATGCACCTTTTGCTACTATAATCTGCAAGCCTGAACGTACGTGTGTGTGTGTGTGTGTGTGTGTGTGTGTGTGTGTGTGTGTGTGTGTGTGTGTGTGTGTGTGTTGTGTGTGTGTGCGTGTTGGTGTGCGTGTGCGTGTGCGCGTGCGCGTGCGCGTGCGCGTGCGCGTGTGGCGCGTGGGGCGCGTGGGCGCGCGGGCGCGTGGGCGCGCGTGCGCGTGGGCGCGCGGGCGCGCGCGCGCGCGCGGGCGCGGTGCGCGCGGGCGCGCGTGGGGGCGTGGCGCGTGGGCGCGTGGGGCGCGTGGGCGCGTGGGCGCGTGGCGCGTGGGCGCGTGGGCGCGTGGGCGCGTGTGCGCGTGGGCGCGTGGGCGCGTGGGCGCGTGTGCGTGTGCGTGTGCGTGTGCGTGTGTGTGTGTGCCACCCGTGACCCTGAACGCTACAATTACAACCCCTCTGCCCAATGGCTCTCCCATGTTGACTGCCACCGCTCCGATGCCAGGCCTTCCAGTCCTGCTCACTCCAGCCGGGCCGCCGCTCTGCTCGCGCACGCATCTGGAGCCGCCGCCGCCTTGCCACCCAAGCTTCCTCTCCGAGGAAACTGCTGAAAGACTCGTTGTGATTCTGTGAATGAGGAGTCCAGATCACATACTCTTGAACCCCGATTTTAGCCCCAGCTCCTCTGTTTTTGGCATCGTCGCCAAGCGCCTTTCATGGGCCACCAAGGCCACTGTCGCCTCGGAGAGCTCCTCCGAGGCGCTCGCAGCAATTTCCCCATCACCGGGGCAAAGCGCCAAGACCTGTGCAGTGGAAAGACGGAGCATGCTCGCATGGTGGACTACCGTGAACTACCAAACTTCCATGTGAAATCCTCAACGGTGCGGCGGCGACACGCACACCTGATGTTACAGCCACGCCTCTTTCGCTGATGAACAAACTGTCAACATGAACCCTTTCATGCCAGCTTGTCGAGATGAAGCATGACTGCACGAGAGGATTTGCCTCATGTTTGACGACCTGCCAACCTCATGGCATGCACTCACGGCTGTTAAGCAGCGCCAACGTGTTCAAGTTCGGACATTTCTGACCATGCTTCGTGCTTCTTTTCTAAGAGCTGCAGCACGAATTCTCGGAGTGGGAAGGCTACAAAGCAAAAGTTGAGAGACCATGGTATGAGGATCAGATGGCCTGCTTGTACGTCTCAATGGCCTCTGGAAGCTGGAAAGCGCTCACCAACGCACGGGCCAAGGTCTGCTGCGCCTGCAAACGTTTGGAACTTGGGGTTTAGATTCCGGCCGTTTGGGGGTGCTGTCTGACCAAGCACTGTGTCTTCGGAGCTGTAAGCTTCAACATGCAAGGTTATGCTTGCGGGGTGATGGCTTAAATTAGCAGACGTTGTCGAACCACCTTCAGCCAGCTGCCTCGGGCAGCGTCAGAGTGGCGCCCGGCGCCAGGGCGACCGCCTGCCGAGCCGCCTTCAGCACGCATCTTGCTGGAGGGCGGGCATGTAGAGCCTATCTAAAGAACACACATATATTGTAAACAGTTGTTTTATCAACACACACGCATGGGCGCTACAGTATCTCCACTTGTCACGTTTTTGTTGCACTGATCTTTGTACATATTGCAATTGCAGTGTTCTTTTCCTGGATGCATGGACACATGCCTGGATGTTCCTTCGCCTCCCCTCCCTCTCTCTGCCTTTTCCAGGTAAATAACTACAATTATGTACATCAATTGGCGTTGGGCAAGTGAACGCAGAAATGACAGGTGGGAGAGAGAGAGAGAGAGAGAGAGTCTCGAAGCACACGGCCCGCAGCTTTTGAAGAGAGATGGCAGGGATGGAATCTTTGTGAAAGCGTCTTCAACAAGAACAATTGCATGAAAGATGAGCTTCAGGGTATACACGCAAAGCAAGGCCACCTCACCTCAACAGCTCGGTGCGCCGACGATGCCGTGTCCAGCATGAGCTCGCACTGCGCGATGGCCTCTGAAGCTCGAAGTCGATTTTGGGGGGGCCATAGTGGTGGGGTTCGGCTTTCCGGACTCAGGGTTAACGGTTATCAAGGTCGACTTGGACTTGGGTGCATCACTCTCCAAAAAAGCAGTTCGTGACGGAGCTAGTCATCGCCTATCCAGAAGACTTAAGAGACACTTGCTTGGCGCGAGCCGGAAAACCTGAGAAACATACTTCTTGGCGACTCCAGTAAAGAATCTAGCGAGCGCCAAGTTGCCCCTGATCCAACTGAAAGATTGATTGATGGAAACCAGGCAGATTTTACTGCTCTGCTAACTGTCCTCGTCCTCGTGCCCCATCCCGACAACGACAGCCCAAGTATTCGCAGCATGGGCAAAGGTCATGAGTAACGCTGTGGTGACAGGATGTCCCGATGCCCGGCGCCTCAACAGGGTGCCTTAAAGGGTACCCCATACATACCCCCAACTACTAATTCCAACAAGACCATCCTTGACTGAAAAATTGGCCCACAGTGCCACAGGGATTGACAGCTGCCTCCATGAGTTCCGCTGTTGGGTCTCCAGGCGAGAGGCTCCGGAAGGCGGCGAGGGCCTGGCCGGCTTTGCAGCTCAAAAACAGCGCAGTGGACCCGTTCGAGTTCAGGGGTTATTCTTCTCCAGATCACCTTTGTGGAGCTTCCAAGGCCCACGATGGCCAATCTTACTTCTATTGGCTCCCATGGGCACAACAACACCTGTTCTTTTCGGCCTTTCTGTGCTCCGGCCAGAAAGATCTGATAGTGCTCGAAACAAGAGCAACTCTAATTCGCATGGTCGCCATGGCCATCCCACGCTGTTGCTTTGCACCTCTGCCCTGCCTCGGTGAAAAGCCCCTGCTCAGCAAGCCGGGTGCCGCGTCCCAGCGCATCATCACTAGTCGCAATGGCCATGGCAAGCTTGGGCTCCGAAATCAAAGTGCATGCGGGCTTCGCGGTGCCCGAGGCTTGCCAGATTTTTTGCTAGATTTGAGATATCCCCTTCGGGATTTCAGGCCTGAGGAAGGGCAGCGATAAGAACTACGGACGGCGATTGCTATTTTTGTGCAGTGACTTTGCAGCAAGTGTTTTTACCGTTTCTGCTTTCTAGAGGGTCTGAACCAAACTCGCCGGGACGTGGATCCGAAAAAACAGACGAGACGAGACAAGTCAACAGGGGCATGGGTGCCAGCATGTTGCGTGCGTCTGATTCATTGCACCTGAGACTTGGCTGCCCGGCGGTGGGTCGCGAGTGTCGTTCAGACCCGCCGACGCGGCGACCATCAGCGGCGTACGGCCTGGCGTCGACGGAGGGATTCAGGCACGAGCTTTCAAGCGCGGGTTGAAGAGTTGAAGACATAAGCGGTTTAGACTTGCACTAAGAACTCATGATGGGTCGAGACAGAGAGCTCTGCCTTGTTTGTCGATGAGCCCAGGGTGCGCCTGTGGCGAAAGGCGGTGTGTTTTCGTGCGACTGGAGTGAGGAATGTTGTCAGGCCATACCATGCGCCGACAGATCTGCATAAAGTAAAGAACACAAGCACAGAGCCCTACTCGCAATAAGCACCCTCATCCACATAGCCTGCAACACACAGAGCTACAGGGCAAGATGTCTGGCCTTCAATGCCAACAGAGCTTTCGCTGCCTGCCAAGGTGACAACTGGCCGTTCGGGTATGACACGAATCGTGTGTACATGCCGTGCATGCACGAGGCGTTCCCGAAACAAACTCAACCTGGAGCCTGTGTTTGGGCATGGGTCAACGCAGACATAAGTTTGCCCGCATTTCTTATGGCGGGCGAGGGGTTGCACATTCTTAGGGGGTCCAGGGGGTTCCTTTCATCATGTGCCTGTAGGCAAGACATAGGAGTAACAGACTCCAAGGACGTGTGCAAGAAGCCCGCAGGTCCCCTGAAAAAGGAAGGTTTTGGTTCCAGGGATCGAAGGAGCTTAGGAGCCGAAACCCAAAGAGTCAAAGGAGTTCTGAAACTGAAGCCCAAAGAGACGAAACCAGTCTAGAAACAAACATTCTGCAAAGAAGAGCGAATGCGGCGCAAACATGCGCAAACGTGGTAAAGGCAAACTCAATAAAGCTAGGGCAGGTTGGATGGGTCGCTCCCGCCACCACTGGGACAAACTATAACTGCCATTGAAACTATATGACTTTCTTCTGTCGCCCTTACTTCAACACACTTCTGCAACAATCAGGCAAATCCATCACCTGCCTCATGCCGACCTCAGTCCGAGGCATCTTCTCTACCGCAAGCGCATCGGCAGACAACTGATGCTCCTTTCAGCCAGTGATCCCTAAAATAGCATTTAAAAAGGGCAATGAGTTCGGAAGGAGCGAAGGAAGGGGCCGAGAAGCACCTACTGCTTGCAAAGGATGAGCTTCCTTGCTCAGATGCATCCCCAAACAACACATGGTATGAGTCACGGCATGAGCCCCCTGAAAGGCAAGTCATATCGAGGAGAAAAAGCTCTCCCACGATTGCTGAGGCCCGAGGCCAAGTCGGGCAGCAAGGTGCAGTGGGGTCAGGCCGGCAAAGTCCTGACCGTTCACCTGTGGATTCTGGCGTGGGGCCCTGTTTGACCAACATTATGGGCTCCCAAGTAGCTCATACACTACACAGGCTCCTAAGCCCAGAATGACCGCTCTCCCCGCCGCCGCGCCTCGCCCTTGAGGCTGACAATTAGCCGGAGCCTTGGCGGGCGGCAAGTAGAGCGAGGAAAGTTCAAGTTCGCGAGCCTCTGCTAGACTCTGATCGTTGTCACTGCCGTCTTGTCGATTAAGTGCAGTATCCCGGCCAAACAGGCCCACTGAGGGCTACACATGGCGCAGGCTTCTTCCTCACCGGCCAGCGAATTTTGACATCGCAATTCAGATTCGCAACAACACCACAACCAAGGCGGACTAGATGCCACAACACACAATACCTCATCGCCAAGACTTCCCTGCTAGATTTCTGGGTCGGGGGCACAATCGTGCCGCACAAAAACCATGCTTTGAGGGCAGCTCTGCTTGAACCATGGACTTGAAACGAGCTGAATGAATTCCTGGGCGAAAAACACGATCCTAGCAGCACAGAGGGCCTCCTCACCGATGCACATGATGGCAACGTGGGCGCACTGCCTTCCCTGGGATCTTTGCGGGACTTCCCAACGTTCAACCACTCCGATGTTCAGGACTTGGTCAGCCGCGGTCATCCGCAGTGTGACGTAGTGACTTTGGGCAATCCGATCGCGAGTTTGGGAAATGTTGCTGAAAAGATCAACTCCTGCCTGGGCATCTCGAAAATGGATGTTGGCGAGACTCGCACCCATGCCGTCGCCGACCTCGGTCGGCTGCGTAGCCAAAAGAGAAAGCATGGCGCAGCACCAGCGCGTAGAAGGCTGACAGCATGGCCACAAAGAAACCACCACACGTAGCTTTTGAGACTTGTGATCGGCTCAAAATGGTACGACACATGCCAGCACGTCCACGGGCTGACTTTACGTGGTTTGGTGACCTATATCCACAACACCAACTCAAAATCATGGGCAACAATTTTGTTTTGATCTTAGTAGTCTTTTAGGTTCCCAGCAAGTGAACAGGAAACAAATACTAATACTAGGTCTTGAGACAGTCGAAGTGTTACCAAGGCCTGGAGCGAACCGCTGCTTCTGAGGGTGGCGCAAACGTGAACGAAACCAAGAACCTTTAAGCCAACCGCAGCTAAGGTCGGCGCTTGGACAAGCTGGATCACCGACATCTTATCATTGGCCCCCACCACGCGCAAAAGCTCCTTCCAGGTCAATTGCTTCCTGTTCTTTGCTTGAGCATACAGCTCGCATAAGGCATAGGGAAGGCAGGTGGCTCGCAGCCTCAAAGGCAGGTCAGCAATCTCAAGTCCACAAGACCCATCGCACAGACGGCTCCAGGTTCTTGAGGATGTTGAACTTGGCATCGGCCTTCTCTGCCCTGACGTGTGGCCAAAGACTTCCTCTAGTCACTGCTAGTCCTTTAAGGCCCTGGAAGGGGCACTGCAATGCGCTTTTGGTACCGAAGTTGTGCAACCTCTGCCACTTCTGGGAACCATGCGAGTTCATCTGTGCGATCCTTCTTGCCAAACATCGTTTCCCGCATCCTATACAGTCATAGCGAAGTCCCGGACCACCAAGTTTATATATCTTCGGGGAAGTGTGCTCTACGTCTCTACGTCGCTCAATCCGGTTGCATGCATCCAGGAGGCTCTTCCAACATCTCCTCGCGCTCCGGCGTGACGGTCCAATCTGAGTGCAGCTGAGACGTCCCTCTTTCCCCATTTTCCCCATGCTGTGCCTCTGGAGATGGCCAAGACCGTTTGCAGGATCCTTTTGCGGCTAATGCTTCTGTTGGACTTAGTGGGATGTTGCGCGCGTGCTGGAGTGCGGCATGGTCCGTGGATGTTGAAGGAAGGGCAAGGATATGCACGCATGTAGGAGGCCGCCTGTGCATACTCCCAAGACTCTGAAGCTGCATTTGTGGACTATCGGCTTTTGCGGCCGTGAGGATAGGAACCGGGGTCCAGAGCTGCCAGCAGCTCCTTGCATAAACCCTGAGGAGGGGACTGATGATGGCTTTCACAATGCGGACCTTCCGGTTCCTGAAGAACAAGGGCATTGTCTCCAAGCTTGGGATCAGGATTGGTCTTGTTGCCACTTGTGCATATTACAGTGCCCTCAGTGTGTCTAAACTCGAAAAACCACTGCACAACTGCCGTTCTCAATGCAGTGGTGTCGGCCCAGTGCTGTTCACACGCGTTTCCAGAGGTCACTCTGGCTCCGCACGTTGACAACAGAAGGTGTCGCGAAGGCAACATGCGATCTATGTCGGGTTCAATTCGTGCCAGTGCCTGCTTACTCACATCTGCAAGTGCGCAAGATATGCGGGTGACGTCCAAGCGTGACAGGTCGTCCTTGCCGCCACCATCAAGGCAGTGGAGCCAGAAATGTCCGGCTCCTTCCGTGTTTCGTGAGGTCTTTGGTACACTGCTTCCAATGGTCATTCGTCTGCTCTTTCACGCCTGAAGTGCTCCTCGCAGTTCAAAGGCCTTGTCCCCATTTCAGGATGTTTTTGCGGCGCTTGTGCCCCGGCAACACCCGGAACAAACTAATTGCCAAAGCTTCAGTGTCGAAACGGCAAAACGGGGCAGGGCTTGGCCATGCAGCAACCAATCATTCCTTTTGCAAGTTTGAAAGAGCCTTTTTTGTGACTTGTGGCTCTGGCCAGGACGGGCAACTGTCTTCCATGCGCGGTCTGCATGTTTTCTTAGCGGGCTTTCTTGATGGGGCGTGTCATGGCGTGTCTTCTCCCAATATGAACAAGATCACGATTCGACTTTTGGGACCTAGGTACACAAGCCTTGGAAAGAACGCCTGTTAAGGAAAGCGACAAAACACATGACTGGTGACTTTTCTTCAGGACGCAGGTGATCCCAACGCTCGAATCATGTTTGACAGGCCCAAGCAGGGTGCCAAATTGCAATCCTCGTCTGAGACTACGCATATGTCTGATCGCCATGCTGTACAGGGCCAGCGGACTCCAAGTAGCAAGAACCATCCGACCTTCAAGCATCTGGCCATCAAGCGTCTCTGCAGGCTCCGGCTGCACTAGCGATTGCACAGCTATGCACGGGGGATTCCTTCTCTCCAGATGTTTGCGTATGAATGCGTGTGCATGTATATGGCTCCGTATTTGTTAGGATAGGACCTCCCAAGAAAGACCATTATTTAGCCTCCCACATGCAAGTCACATCTCCCGGTTGTACCACACACGAGGTCTCTAAGGCTGAACTGCTCTCTGAAGGCTCGCCCGCTCGGTGAGCCTTGAGGAATTCAGAAATCATCTCCTTAGAAACGAGGTGCTCCGCAGAACATGAGGGCAAGTGGCAAGAATCTGGAACAGGGGAAATTTGGGGAATGGACCTGGAACGACATCACCCCGTTTACAACAACTTTGAGTGTGCCGCTTCAGTTGCAGCAAAGCCCTGGACTACAGGAGCTGTGAAGGATTAAGGAAGTGACTGTAATTACAAACACTGAATTCGGCTCAAGCGGTCGCTGGAAGTATATCATTTCGAAGTCCGACGCACTGGTTCTTGCAGATTTGGTCGTCTTGTCCTGCGTGACGGCCAGGTTTTGGAGGCTCTCTGCAAGGATCGGGCAACTTGAGAAAATCATCCGGTTCTTTCAGAGGTGAGTCCCAGAACTCAAAAGTTCCTTGAACCTAAAGCCAAATGTTCCACCCTCTTTAACAGGGGCCTCACAGTCAGATTGGCTGGGCTATTCAGGACACCCTGACTGTTTGGGGCTGCGCGGTGGGATCCTGAATCAGGTCAAATCGACCGGGCGCCGTAAGAAAATTCCACGCGTCGCGCCTTCAAAATCAATTGCCGGGCATCGCTGCCCCTTTTAAACTCCTCCCCATTAGAATCATATAAACCCTTCGGGACTGTGTAAGCAGGGACAAAAAAAGCTTCGACTGTTCTGGGGGAGGGGGTGGGGGGGGGGGGGCACACGAAAGAGGGTGCAACACTCCACTTCTCCTTCTTCTCACGGCTCCGGGACCAAAACTTCTCGCAACAGCGCAGCCCCTTGCACATATCTCTCTCTCCCTGAAGCCACACAACATGGGGGGTTACACCTACAAGTACTTGTAAAGAAAAGACGAAAGGGCTTCACCTCAGCCACTTGCAGCTTCGAAACCAAAGTCCGGCTACGTTCAGTGGGCAAGGCTGTTGCGCAGAGGTCCTCCACCTCGAAGCCTTGGCAACTTGCGACATCATGCAGCTTTGCATCCATCAAGAATCAAGAATGCAGTACTTCAATGCACCCAGGCTCAGGTGTGCAGTGCCCACACCCGGTTAAAGGAGGGTGTATTTGCGTACGGACAAAATGAGCGAGTTCTGCGCAGAATGGCCAAACCCTCTTCGAAGATTGCAACTGGTTCTTGGTCTAATCCTGCGAAAGGGCCATCGTCGCACCACGAGCTGCGGACATCCGTCATTGTCTCGGTGTCAACGGCCTGGAGACAGACTACCACACTGAAGCCTGATTCCCTGCTCCTCAAGACCACAAAGGCTCGCGAGTTCCGTGCATTGGCCTCCTCATGGCCAATGACAGGAACAATTGGAACCCCAGGAAGACTAAGCAAATTTCGTGCACCCAAATGAGTTGAGTAGAGAATTCAACCGTGCAGAAAGCGCGAGTAGACATCCGCCAGCCAAGGCTTCAGTCTTCGGGCGAAGTGGCGGATAGTGGCGGATATTGGCGGATCCAGGACATGAAGCCACTGTAAGCAACAGCTTGAGCTTAGGATGGCTTGGTGTCCTTTCACTGGCTGCTCCATGTCAAGTTATCAGAAAGTTTCTATAAACAAAATTTGGACTCATCCGCCTCCTCAGATATTCGGAGCAGGTCGTCGAGCTCTTCAAAAGGCCAATCGTTCAAATCGAAGGCAAAGTCCTCTCCCGAGGACATGGAGTCAGAGTGAAGCGCTGCAGATGGGGTGGGGGGGAGTGGGGGTAGCATGGCATAGCTGAGTAGCTGGGTATGATTGTGCCGGGTGCAGGGCTGGCGTGGAATCCCTGCCTGTGCAAACCGTTCCCCAGCTCACATTATGATGCTGCAGGCTCCTATCATCCAGGCTGGAAGTATCGTGACTGTTGCTGCCGCTACCCTGGATTGATGGGCACTGCAATTGGGTGCAAATGCTCAGCAATTGGGCTACAAACTAAGACTCCTGCCCCGCCAACCTCAAGCTGAAATAGTCAGCATTGATCCTCGATCTCCAGCTCGTACTCTTCCAGCGACATGGCGACTTCGCCGCTGCCTAGAGGAGACATGGGACATGCATGTGTACTTGCAGCGTCCAAGCAGGACCACAAACGGTCCAAAAACCTGAGCTGCAGGGCAACTTTAGGAGCATGACCCCCCCCCTCCCACTGGTGCCGACAGCTCCAAGCCTGGAAGCCCCAACGATGAGTTCTCAGAACTAGACGCCGAAGAGGCACCCAGGACATGCCAGGACCGACCCAGAGGAGTTGTGAGTCCCGAGTGATTGGAACCTGTAAGCCCTAAGCCCTATAAGCCCTAAGCCTTGAAAGATCCTTGAGCCGACTTGAGCCCACCTCGTGCGCGCCACTTCTGCCGGCCCGCTGTGCTAGCGAGTTCCCGGGAAGCCCAGACGAGGCGTTTGAAGCGGGCCTACAGGGGATTGAGAGACGGTGAACGAGAGGGTTGACTGCAAGTCGTGCCGGCGCTCCGAGCCAGGCTCATGGCAACTCTCCCGTGGTCTTCGGCAAATCTAGTCATACCTAGTTTCAGGGACTCAGGTGGCATGGTCCGGTGTTTTGCACGAGTGTAAAGGAATGCATCATCAAGCCCACACATGTTCAAAACCGCCTGCGCGCAGGAGCTTAGAACCCTTGTGGAGAATTTGCGGTGTTCAAGGTTGCAAAAGGCGGACCTCGCTGCCCGTCTCTGGCACATCTGGATGCAGCTGCCGAGCCAGCTTGCCTCAGGCTTGTAGGCACGTCTCGGCGTTCTTGAATGCAATGTGGTGTCAATTTGCCGAGGTGCGGAATGCGGGTTTGATTTCCTCATCGTCGCAGTCCTGGCAGTCAGTCCAAGGGCCTGGCCATATATCTGGCCATACATTGAATAAACCCATCATCGCGTCAGCTGTGCCCTCGAGCGAAAAAAAAACATCAACCTTTGCGTCCTGACCCTATACCTCTTGAATTGCAGCTGCGTGTCCTGCGACAGGCCCAGGACATCGAACCTCATGGCAACTGCAAGTGGAAGACCTGCAGCAGCATCACCCTGCTAACCTCAACCAATCTGAACCTCCTGCTTCCGCCCCCCCCCCCCTCCCCAATTTTTCAATTCATAAGTCAGGAGAAGACACCTTGACCCCGAAAACATCTAACATGGGCAAGGGGCGGGTTCTCCAGTGTGGCGACCCTTCGAGGGACAATCGCCCGTGCGCGCGGTGCTACGCCACAGAAGTGTGATCGAAGGCGCCCTGGATGCACAAAGCGTATCCGGACTTGGAGTTGCGGGAGTTGTGTGTGCGTGCGCTGGGCATCTGAGCTGTGAGTCTTGCTGCCAGGAACTGGGATTCAGGTCGAGCTCTAGCCGCTTTCCATTTCATACTATGTGAGGCTCATGTTGGATGCTTGGGATACCCACCTCATACATGGCAGCACCGCAAAGAACCTGACTGTCTCCACAAGCGGAAGCAACCAAGGCAGGTGAGCAAAACCAGCTGTGCCGCACGCAGAACAATACCGAACCCAAGCAATCCCAACATCTCCCCTGCAAAGCCCCCCATCATGGGTGGGCTGGCACCTGGCGCAAACACCGCAGCTCGCGCCGAGCTTGTGTAGCTGCTCTGGCTTCCCACCTCGAAAAGATAGCACAAGGCTGATGAGAAGGGCTAACAGACAGTTTTGGGTTGCTCTGCACACTGTAGACCCTCTTTTGGCCAAGCATCCTTTAGATCTACTCTAGCAGGCCCTGCCCCCACCCGCCAACAAAAATGTAAGGAACACCCGCAAGCCTACCAGTATACAGGCCCAGCTCCTGATGGGCAAACACAAATGTGACACAGGGGCCCTATTATAAAGTCCCCTTCTATGAAGTCCCTATGAATGCTAAGTGGCAGCGGGGCCATGTAACAAGAAGAGTCCCGCAGCCAGGGCGACCTGAAACTCGAGACAAAGTAGCACTACAAATCTGCGTCCACTGGCGCTGCTTCCACTTCCATACGGCTGGTGCGTTGAGCCGTTCATCTATGGCATATATGCACTATGGAGCTATATAGTGCCACGTAGTGCTGCTATCGTGTGGCGTACTTGGTAGATGTTCGTAAACAGGACTGATCGACCTTGCAATGCGGCCAAGACACTGCCACCCTTCTTCGCATTTCAGTGTCTCACACATGGGCGACAGGACACATGGAGGATGCCGGAGCGGAAACTGTAAACTTCGATGGTTTGGATCATGGCTCTCAGTGGTCTTGCGAGGGGGACGAACAGAACTCTCAAGACTGAAGCTGCAGGCCCCAGATTGCGATTGAAACAAGCAAGTGTCCTTTTTTCGACTGGTGGTGCGCAGTGCATGCACGCGATCTAGCGGTGTGTTCGGCTGAAGAGCTGAATGCTGCGATATAGCGACAAGAACAGCTGACCACTAAACAAACAATGCGTTACCCATGATTCGGCCGATGATGTTCTCAACCAAGAATGCTCTCCTCCAAAGGGGCGCCATTCTCTAGCAAGATGCTGACCTGGGCGCATGGTTCCAACATTGTAAAGCGTCAACTCTTCCTGGGCTCGGTTGTTGCCCATGGCCGAGGTGGTGTAAGTACTCCCTGGAGCTCTAGATGCCGGGAGTGCATGCAGGGACGAAGAACTGACTGTTCAAAGAACTGGCTGTGTGCCGCCTGGGGGCAATGTTCAGATGCCCCAGCAATGCTGCAACGTGAAGAACGGTCCCCCCAGAAGCATCCTCACAGCTTGTATTGGCTGGAGGGAGGAGTCGCACCGCCATCTGCTGAAAGTCTTTCGTCTTATTTCATGCCCGATAAATATAGTATCAAAGGTTTGGGGCACCCAGGCCAGAAATTGGATGTGAGCTTCCCTCATGGCTGCACATCCCTGAAGCTTGTCCGACATGCCATGGCCCGAGAGAATCGTCCTTGACAGTGAGATCCGCCTTAGCCTGCATGACAGCTTGGAGTCACAGCAAGATCGGCTACCTTTCCACTGCAGGCATGTTGGCCCCACACTTAGGTGTCGCATGGTGTCGCGCAGAGCAGGACCCAGAATGCCTGGTTTTGAAGGTATCACTATTGTGCAACAGGTGGCTTTCGGAAACATGCAGTCATTGACTGTGGCTTGAGTGCCACTTGGAAGCACATCTCGTAACCTCGACAGGGCAAACCCTCCAGGACCCTGAAACTTCTCAGATGTGACGCTGGCAGGTTTTCCTCTCGACACTGCACTGTGGATGCTTCCGATTCGCCCTGGGCGGCAGCGACCCAGTAAAATCTAGCCACAGGACAGTCAGGCACCTGTGGTTTGGCATCTCAGGCCTTGGACTCCTGTGGCATCCTGTGGCAGCCTGTGGCACACCGAGGCTGAGCGCCCATATTGCCGACCACAAGGGTCACGACAAAGTCTTCCCATTGGCAGATTTATCGCAAGCGCTGCATGATCGACAACCTGGGCGGTGGTGCCAAGGCGAGCAACGTCGGTCAGGGCATCCGTCTTGAGCTTAAGGTTGCGCTCCACGCTCCGCGGAGTCCCGAGGTGAGCTATAAGCCGACATCTTCAAGGGATGCTGTAGCCGGCAGGAAATTGACGGCTTGCACTCCACGCGTTGCAAGTTCGGCCACCCCAACCAGACGCCATTTAGCTGTTTCCAACAAAGATGGGACTGTAGTCCGCGACTGTGTCCAGGCAATGTTGCGCACAGCCGATGTCCTGGAGCAACTCACAAAATACTCGGAATGCAACTGCCGTGGGTCACGAAGGGGAACGGCTTGTCTCGTTAATGTGTTGTTGACACATAATTTGGACTTAGACCATTCTGCTATGCCCCAACTATAGTCTCCAGATACTCACACAGGTACGACTCTTCAGGTTGCAGATGCTGCATTATGCAATCTGTGCATTTGCTTGGTGTACCGTTGGGGAACTTGTGCTCACCATGCCCGGCTCTCCCTGCCGCGTCCTCATGGAGGCAATCTGTACCTGCAGTGCGGGTCGTATGTAGAAGTCTCCCAGCTGCTGGCGTGGACAGGGGCGTTCAAAAAGTGATCTCAGCTTGCAGTTTATATTTAGTATAATTTTTGTATGAAAGACCCTCCGAACTCCTCTTCTTTCAATGCATTGTCTGAGAGAGTGCAATGGTGAGCAACGTAACATGGAACTGTTCAAAGCACGCAGAATCACGCAGACAGAACCAACAAAACCAAGCACCCACACACGCCCGCGGCCGCCGCCCCCGCCGCCCCGCCCCCGTGCGCTCACACATGACACACATGACACACATGACACACACACACACATCTCGATGCGGGACTGCTCAGCCAACATACAGAAAGAACGGGCACAAACACGGAAAAACTCTTCGGACCTCAACATCATCACTCATCCGGAGCACATACAGCCAAAGTTGGGCAAAATTCACATCAACAACAGCTGCAGAAACAGTGTCACGTCCAATACACATACATACGTGTACATCCTCTTGTCACCTCAGCTGCCCCTTGCTTGACTCCTACCCTGCAGTCGTTCAGCTACAGGTGCAGTGCTTTGTCGCCAAGTCTTCGCACATCACGGCCATTGACAGCACCTCGCTCAACGCACTCATAGAAGCACATGTCGCAACTCCATCAAGAGCAGGATGTTCGTATCCTGTATGTCATGCCTCAAACAAACCTGTCATGCATGGGGTAATCAGGCGCCTGATACACAATGTGCGATTCTGATACTTCCCAAGCCCTGCCCAGGCACGCTCTTGAGATGCTGTCGGTCTCTGGCCAGGGCCTCCGGGTCCAAAGTGGCCAGCGCCGCATCCTCGGCTTTTGGATCGGACTCCTTCTCCCAAGCTTTTAGTAACTTACAATATCTTACACTAGCGAAGGACTTGCGGATCGGTGTGGGTCGACTTGACATATTCAACAGCTCATAGCATTTTAGCAGGCTAAGCTTGTTTGGAATCGCGTCACAGCAGGGAACACGAGTGCTCAAAATAGCCGTTTCTCTGGGAAAGTGATGTACCTGATGAGGTTTCGAAGCTTTTAGTAGGCGCCTTGCAGAGGTTCGGAGTGGGAGACTATGTAGGCATCGCATGTCTGCAGGATTTGTAAAGCTGCCCATCTCCCCCTGAGCTGCAAGTACCGTGCTGCGAGCTGGATTGATGAACGAAAGGTCAGGTCATTTGCGCTGTGTGTGCTTGCCGTGAGTCAAGGCGTGCATTCGCAGCACGCCAAATGGCGATGTCCGCCCAATTGCTTTCGGTAAACTCCGAAGAGTGCCCAAAATCCATCACCTGCCGAGCAATGAAGGGCCAACTCGGGAAGGGTAGTGTCAAGAGGAACTTTTGTGCTTGTGATGTGCTCCCTGACAATATGGAAGCTCCGACATTCTCCACGCCCTCAACGTCTGCATGGAGTTGTCGGTTCCCCGAGCCTCCGGTTCTTCCTGGGTCTTCTTGCGCTTCGGGGCGTAGCCGTCCCATCTGTCCCTTGAGGGCAAACAAGGGCTCTCCCTCTCTCTCCCTCTCTCCCTCTCTCTCTCAACAGCCCTAAAATACTTTTTTCACGGTGTTTTAAGGGCCTTTTAATTTTATACAAGACATGGACTTTTCACGAGGCGGGCCCAGGGCTTAGCGGCTAAGGCGCCTAAGGTGTTCAGGAAACAAGGGAGGAGCCGCAGAGTCAAGGGGACACCGCTTCCTTTGCAACGGGGCATCGGAAACAAATGTTGCGAAGATTTGAGAAGTGTGGTGAAACTCTGGAGGACAAGTCCCCCGCAAAATCGTGAGGTCGCAGGCTGTCGCTCTTCGCGCTTCCGTGAAAAAGTGCGTCGCTCGTGCGTGTCGCACCGATGAACTCTCAGCAGCCCCATCCCCGCCCACATCAAAAACATCTGACAGGCCAAGGAGCAGGAAGTTACAGACCTGCCGCTTTGAGGAAGACTTGACCTTTCTTCCAACGTCTGTAGTGTAGTTGGCTTGGCTTGGGAGTTGAGGGCGAGTGCTCTTTCTGCCGAAGAGCAGAAGAAGATCCCAGTACCCATTCGATAAGTTTTGACGGCAGCGAGACGAAGGGTAACAGCTAGAAACTTGCAGAAGTTGAACCTTTGCCCGCAACGCTGTTTCCGCAAGTGGGCGGTCGCGAGACTTGAGATGTGTCATGGCAAGCTGAAGCACTCACAAAGCCGAAAGGAATGCTTTCGGATGCTCTAAGCCTACCATCGCCTGTGAGATTACGATGAGGGGGCCTTGGAAAGTGAGGTCGAAGTCACCCCTCAATTGTTTTGCCAGGATGCCTGCACGTGGAGCATCGCGTCGAAGGTGAGGTTCCTTACTCTCGGGCTGTTGCTGCAGTTTTTGCCTTATGGAAGCCTGCAAACCGTTTCCACGACAACAACCGCTGAAACGTCTTGAGCCCATGACATCCCCTCGGAAGCTCTATACTATATACCAAAAGTGCCATTCCATTGTTGGAGGGGGGCTTGCCCACCCTCAGACAACCTCTGCGTAGTCCGACGTGGTTCCTGCGTTTTTCGGTTGCTACCAGGATGGCTAACGTTACTTTCCTCTGCAGTGTTCGGCCTCCAATGAAGTACCCAAGTCTTACTCAGTGGGTTCAGCAACTATCTGCCACATCTTCTTTCTAAATCTAAATAGTCTCAAGTTCCTCCACCCCTCCCCCCATGCACGGCGATATTCTACGCAAGACGCAGCCTGAATGGTACAGGTCCTTGGCCTCAAGTTTGGCGAAACAAGAAATAAGGACACATGGCCCCCACACTGCCCCACATACATGCTTCCTACGCTGAAATGGCCAAAGTCTCCACTGTGCGCGGAAAGCAAGGAGCGAATCCTCCATCCTGTTCTGCCCAGCTCTTGCGAGACAGGTAGAGGCGTAAAGCCCACCATTTACTGTTCAAAGCCCGAACCTGACCAATGTACCAGCTGCATGGTTCAAGGACCCTGATCCATACCGCAGCTCAGCGGTCCTCTCCGTGACGAAGAAGAAGTCGTACCTATTGTGCACACACGTGCATGCTATGAAACCCAGCAGGTTCCCCCTTTGAGCTGAACGTGGCCCAGATTTAAAGACGAGAGCTTTCAAGATCCGTGCCAAAAAGACCGTAACACGACAAACTCACGAACACAGTGACTTAATTA